GTCTGTGATGACGTCTGTGATGATGTCGATGATGTCTGTGATGATGTCTGTGATGTCTGTGATGATGTCTGTGATGACGTCTGTGATGATGTCTGTGATGTCTGTGATGATGTCTGTGATGACGTCTGTGATGATGTCGATGATGTCTGTGATGACGTCTGTGATGTCTGTGATGACGTCTGTGATGATGTCGATGATGTCTGTGATGATGTCTGTGATGATGTCTGTGATGTCTGGGGTCAAACTGACCCCCAAAGCAACTTTGACTTCTCTTAAAAAATATGATCATTTTATTTTTAAACCTTGAATCTCTGACTTTTGCTAAATGTATTAGACAAATTCATAAATAAAAATAATTTATGCCTTGGTTAAAAGTGCCTGGAGCCAAAAACAGCCTAGATCTGACCATAACTAACTTACAGCAAAAGCAGACATTTCCATGACTTTTTAGTTTTGTTCATTTCTATGATTTTTTTTAAAGTATAAAAACAAAATAAACATTAAGGCACATAGCAAATGCAACAAACTAACCATTGTTATCAGTTTCAGCGTAGATGAAAAGTACTTTCCCCTCAAAGGGATGACCAAACACGACTAAGAGTAGGAAATACATCTGAAGTCTTTCTCGAAGTAAGATAGGGCATTTTATTTTGAAATATGAGGACTAACCCTGATTCAGCAGCTGGTTTGCTCTTCGAACGCGCCTTTTCTCCGTATCATCAGCTGAAGACCGCGCCGGACGCGTCTGAGTGCCCCATTTCTGTTTTAAACACTTTATAGTGATGAATCATACTCCATATGCTGCTGATATGACAGCTCTCCCTCCTTTCTACATCAGCATCATCACTGCTCAGTAACAACACGCACACATCCGCTCATATGACACACTTCCGCTTTTAAGTCCTGCCACCTAGCGGTCACTTATTGCAACAACCGCTAATAAAACTACAAGAGTGCCGCTCTGCAGTCAGACCGTCTTCAAACTTTAGGATAATAATAAAACATCCTCCTGAGAACCAGAAAAAAATAGTTTAAAAAAAAAAAAAGTTTTTTTTATGTCATCACATTGGTTGTAGCATAAGAAACAAATGGAGAAAAACATTTAAAAATATATATATATTTTATGCTATGTCCTTTTTGTGCCAGGACTAAGTTATTCAAAAAATAAATAAAAATAGATATGAAAAGGCATGTATAGGCAAAAACAATGTTTTATTTTTTTCATTAACCAATCACTTTTTAGGTTTCAGGCTATTTTTAGCCAAACTTTGTACAAAGGTGATTCTCAACTATGTTATGAAAGATATAACAGAATGATTTGATATACTATTTTACTTTACTTTATGCAATACGTGCGTAAAATGTCCATAAACTGGTATTCCCCTTCTATACAATGTATCAATTAATTGCATCTAATTTGCATATGAATGTGTTCTTGGGGCAAACCATAATGAAAAAAGAAGTGTAATAATGGGAGTAAAAACTTGGCAACATTTTCATAAGAATATCTCATATTTCATAGGAATATTGCTCTATGATTTCTTTCTCTATTGACTTGCTGTGTTTCCCCAAAACGTCTGATTAACATGATGTTTGTCCTGGAGTCCTCTACAGAAGACATGCATGAAAATTAGGCACTGTAACAAAAAGCCATATTCCGATTTGAAACCCCATAACATTTTTCTGAGATGTTTCTTTATGACAATTTTCAAAATCAGCCAGATTTAAATGATAATTACAAAACATGATCATATTTCCCCAAGAGTGCTCAATTTGATCATTCTCTCAATATCAGTCATATTTAAAGACTAAGGAGAGTGAGTGTTTATGATCAAACCTCCAAATATTTGATATCTCTGAAAAGCCCTGAATGTGCTCTGAACAGGACATCCAGACTAAAACTGTGGCATTTGTGCTCTCAGAGAAATTCACTCAAATAGAATGTCCTCTACAGAGGACAAAAGTCTATGCCTGGGTCCCAGAAGGATATGATATGATATAACATAATATTCTAAATGAGAGACAGAAATCGAATCATTAGTCAACCGATTCATTCAGAACACTGATTCATTCAGGATCAAAGCCAGTCCCTCCTGTGCTGTTTGGGGACACTGCGGTTGATTCTGGTCGTAGCTAGAATCTTTGTCAGAGCAAAAATAGACAATGTAGCTAGGAATATTGTGTCTTAAATGTAAGAATTTTTAATTCTTGTTTATGTCTTAAAATAACTGCTAAGGTAAACCGTATTAGGTGAAAATATTTTTGGAGTATATCTTCAATTATTTACCTTTATTATATTATCACGATGTACTTTGAGTTGGAAGTCTGGCAGTCATTGAAATGTCGATCTTTATGTTTCTAGAAAAATCACACTAACATACGAGGCAGTCAATGTTGGTGCAGAGTGCTAATATGTGAAAAAATATGACATAAAACTCGTCACGCATGTTCTGTTTTCTAGAACAGATTTACAGTTACACATGGTTTAACAAATTAAAGATAATTTACACACATAGTAGCCTCCATGTAGTTAGGATACGAAGGTGCTAATTACAGAACAAATGAAAAAGGAGACATTTGACATATCACAAGCTGTATTTATCAAGGAATTAACTGTACAGAGTCAGTCAGGATCTGAATTATACAGCATTCATTCATTCACTGTTTCCATGTGTATTAGTGTCACCCTTGAACAGTGGCTGTGAGTGAGAATGAGAGTGGTTTCATCATGCACAGCAGTACCATTACAGGGACAATGTTATTCATGCAACCTGAATTGCCCAGTTTCCTTTCGATTCCTTTCCTTTGAGCTTTGGAGAAATAGCCCCACGGATATTCAAAACTGGTATTAAAAATGTTCTTATTTCACAGTAGAAAAAAAAGAGCATTTTTGTTTGTACAGAAGCAATTACAGTTTGTACAGGTCATCGAGCTGCTGAGCTAAAACCAGTGGTGCTTAAGGGTCTGACACTATAGACGTGACACGGGGAGTGAGTTTCAGTCATACCCAAACATTTAAAGCAGATAAATCTGCCATAAATCCCGCTTAACGTGTGATACTGTATATATAAAAGTAACTGAACAACTTTTAAGACTATACAGTAGATATCACAAGAACCTCGAAAAACATTAGAGCAGTAGCTGAAGTAGACAAGGCTATTAAACCATAAAACAATATGTATTTACTGTTGGGGTTGTGCCTTCTGTTGATTCAATGGATCAGATCCATCATGGATTTAATAACATTTTATAAATGTTTCCAAATGCTTCCAGTTACAACAAATTGTTTCATGTCCATTAACTTGTATGTGATGGAAGCAGCAGGTATAAATGTGTGTTTTCTCTGCATGATTTCTTCAAACAATTAGCTGAATGAATGCATTGCGGATTTAATAACATTTTATAAATGTTTCCAAATGCTTCCAGTTACAGCAAATTGTTTCATGTCCATTAACTTGTATGTGATGGAAGCAGCAGGTATAAATGTGTGTATGCAGATGTATGAATGAGAGTGTGAGCCGGGGCTTTTCATGCACAATTTTCTCTGCATGATTTCTTCAAACAATTAGCTGAATGAATGCATTGTTTTATAGTACTGCTAGCTGATCACAAAACGCAGCAACTTGTCCCAGACCCTCAAGCACCAATCCTCTGCTCACAATAGCACTGTGCAATGGGGCAGTAATTTAGTGCAAAGGAAAAGTTGCATAAATTTTTACTTGCAAGTGTATACATTTTTTTTCCGTTCACCATCAACTTGGATACTTTTACTGCATACCCTCTGTCTGTATAAGTTATTCTATTGCATAAAAATAAGATTTTTCGTACCAAAAATTAGACTTGGAGACAAAACCAAGGGCATCAAAGGAAGAGAAATTCAGACCCAGACACAGAAAGCTCTTTCGATATATACTGTATACAATGCTTTGAGAGTGTATAGAGAAATAAGAGCTGACAATTGTATATTTAAAAGCAGGGACATTACAAAAGCATTTGCATGACGCTCTGTTCAGATAAAGGAACAATCATGAGCTTGCAGAGAGAAAACGACTTGTTGATTGAAAAAAAATGTACATGAACATCATCTCCTCCCTCTCAATGACTGGTTTACATTTTTCTTTACAGATAGAGGACCATTGCTTCTAACATTATTAAGACTTTTTTTTACTTTTAAAGACGACGTGTTAAGGAGGACTACAGCTGACAGACTTTGGGACAATGAGGCACAAATATAATACCTGAAACCATTACGTTTCCGTTCAACACACACACTTTGACATTTAATTTCAACCCTGTATGTTGCATGAAAAATGGCATGGCATTATGTAGTCAGCTCATTTTCAACTGCAGTGTGTGTGTATGAATATTATGGATGGATCTCAAAAAAACCAAACTGGATTTGTGTCATCATTTGCAGAGCTGTCTAAAGCATGTACCGCTTTTCTTGCAATATACCTTGCATTTTTGCTAGCTATGGGCTTTCTATACTATCACCTGCGGAACTACACAATTCAAAGACGTATTTAACCCCGTTTCTGCCAATCAGGAGAAACAATCACATAACTTCTACATGGCATCCAACTGCCATCTTACAAACGCACATCACCAGTTAAATCAAACGCCTGCATCCATTCAGCCCTCAGTGCAATGTTTGGAAATAATGCTGGGAGAAAGTGACAAAAGGCTAAAACAAAAGTTTTACAAAACAATCAGTTCTGTGCTTGGAAGACTTTTGAGGATAAATAAAATGATGTAAACCCGATCTCACGTTCAGAATAGCTTGATGACGAATGCAATGCATACATGCATAGACACATACACACAACTGATTTGGTAATCTGTCATTAAAAGAGCAAATGAACTCACACTCGACATTTAATGCATAATATGAGATTAATGGTTGAGACTTTCCTGCACATTGGGAAAACTCATGTACGAAACCAACAAATCCTAGTAATCAAATCTGACAATACACACTCACAGCAGGTGAGCTGCTTCCCTTTATTTGAAACAGACCATTTATTTCTTCATTTGAAAGTTAAACCTTGTAGGCATGCTCTGATATGTCATATGCCAAACATTCAAACATGTGGTCTACAAAGTGGCAAGACGAGAATCAAAATCGTGTGGAAGAGCCAATGAATACAAATCAACACGTTAACAGTATAAAAGAGCAAAACAACTTACAAAATAAACAGACAAATCATGCTCTTCAGAAAAAGACTAACCTCGAGAAAGATTTTGGCATATTTCCATTTTCTTCAGCGCGAGATTGTATAGAACTGATGTTGAGACGTACAATATACAAAGAGAGAGACGGGTACACATACATATGGGTCATCTTTTTCATAGACGGATTAGAAAATAATCTTCGTGAGCTACTTTACTATAACATCTTTCTCTTTTATCATCCATTTGCCTATGCTATCAGCTCTTTGGCCCATATGGAGCTCCTGAATTGTCATGGTCCTTGGCAGCCACTAGAGGGCGCTCACTGACACAGGAGCTTCTTGCTCCTCCATGTTGCCTGATTCCACACTCAACTGGACAGCAAGAGATAAAGGGAGTTCACAGTGACACCTTCGTTTTCTGATTCCGTCAGAGCACTGTCCTGGATTTCTGAAGTCCCGGCTCCTGTCTCACTGCAATTGTGTGCCTCATTTCTTCTTGCCTGTCTTTTTCTCAGGCTTTTCACCCTTGTCTGAGCGCACAGATCCCCCGTCGGCTCGGTCTGACTTTTCACCTCTTTCCGAACCGCCTGCCCTGCTGCCATCCCTGCGCGTTCCCTCGTCAGTAGATGAGGTAGTTGGATGGGTCTGCCCCTGTTTGCCAATCTCTTCATGCTCACTTATACTGGTGTTTATACTTGTGATCCAGCTTTTTAGATCGTCCTGCAGACCAAAGAGAGATTGAAGACTCATTTTCACACAAAAAAGTTGACCTGAATCAATTTAATGAGTTATAACCAGGCCCAAACAGAATCTGCAGCAGAGACCTCCATGGAAATCTTTGGAGATTTTTGCAAAATCAAAACAAATTCACATTCTACACATTCCCCAACCCTTGCGTTTTTCTTTATTAAATATTTAGATTCATTTGATTAATGCTTTCTGCCAATAAATTTTCCTGTCAATAAGGGTGTAGTCCCTGCTGGGACTGGACTACTAGCTGGTGGACTGGCTTGGTCAGGCTAGTTTGAGCTGGTAAACCAACTTCCCATATGCTGGTTAGGTATGTTTTGAAGCATGGCAACTGGTTTAAGCTGGTCCTTAGATGGTATGAGCTGGACCTGAGCAGGAGCTAGTTGATGAACCAACTCATAAGAGATCGTCCTCACTGCAGAACACAAGATTCAGGAAAGAGGTTGGATCCAGATCCAACTCCTCCCACCTTACATACAGTATACCTAAACCTACCCGTCTCCACCCCCTGATCCCTAAACCCACCCATCTCCACCCCCTAGATTTGGATCCAACCCCGCCCCCTGGATCTTTGTTCTGCAGTGAGGGGCTACTGGCTCATAACCAGCTTATAACCAGCTCAGAACCAACTAGGACCAGCTTAAACCAGCTCAAAACTGCGGCCATGCTTCAAAACATACCTAACCAGCATATCCTGTTTTTTTCAACAGGGATAAAACAGCAATAAACCAGCTTCTACAGTATGCTAAGTCAGCTTTGCTGAAAATATCTGCAGATTTCATCTAGGCCTGGTTTTGACTAAAATGTATTACCGAATTAAAGTCGGCCCAAAATTAGTGCAGAACTGAAAAAAAATTATTTGGAAACTAGGATAAAAAAGGCAACTCACCTCATCTTTAGCATGGAACAGAAACTCACTTCCATCGTTAGTTCTAAAATTATAAAGCAAAATTAATGTTATGCAAAGGGAACACTACACAAGTCATCAATCTTTTTGGAAAAGCTAGTAAACGTGCTAATGAAGTACTTGAGTGTGAAGACATTCTTCTTCTTTTTGTAACCATTGTTGATATCACAGGCACAACGGCTCAGGTTGATAAGCGGCTCGTTGTTGTAAGGTGTGGAAGTGTTCTTCGCATCCTTATAGAATCCCAGCTCACCTTTATTCAGCACACAGTACAGGTTCACCCAAGATCTGCTGTAGTGCGGGAGAGAAAGCAAAAGATTTGCCCATCAGAGCCCAGATGACACCATGCACCGACTAACTACTCACCTACTGAGACTGGGATGACCAGCCCTTAAGACTGAGCAAGACCAAACTGCTGCAGAGATCATTAGACCTTTAAAAAGTGATGGACAGACCATGGCTTACCTTTGTAGAGAGGGAGAAGAACAGTCAGCGGCAAAGAGAGCATTAGAAACAAGAGAGATTTTGGTTAATGAGATATACTGCAATATAAACACAAATGCTAGTCTGAAAATGGCTTGAGTGGACAAGCAGATTATGCGCAAATACATGCTCCAAAAGAACAGACAGCCATTCTTTTGAGTTCCTTAAACTCCTTGATGCGATGAATTGTTTTGTGACTTGGGCCGCAAAGGTGCCGTATCCGGTCTTGTACAAAATTGCTGTATAAAGCTGTGAAGGGTGAAGGCTTCATACCTGACTAGCCATGGCTTCAGAGACCCAGCATCTGTTGGTCTTCTGACACAGTCACATCCACCATCCAGGCTGATTTTAGTATTACCATGCATGTGGCAAGCAGTGCTAACAGCTAGCTATTTTCTGCCATTGCTTGATATGAAACTTGTAATCACAAATGACAGCCAAACAGCTGCTCCTCAGTTTAACTTCAGGAAACATTTTAGGCTTGTAAAGCATTCAAGCATATCCCAGTTTGACTTGAAACTTGGTGAAAGAAAATAAGAGCTGCTTTGTAATAACAAATGTTAGTGCTCTAAGCATCAGTACCTAATGCTAACAACAACATTAGCATAGCTTTGAATGACCAATCATACTGATTGGCATATTTGGTTTAGCCGTTTTCATGCTAATTCCATGCCATGTGCCCCTAATTTTTAGACCACAAAGTCCCACCTGTTCGAACTCTTCTTTTGGCCCTCAATGTCTATTTTGCGGAAGAGGAACCCTTCACGCTGGGCCATGTGGGTAGGCGGCTGGGGTACTGGTGGGCTGCTCTGGGCTGGCGCAGACCTTGAGCGCCGTGTTTCGCCAGCTGGCTCCTTGGGTCGGGGTCTTCTTCTCGGTTTGGGTCTGTCACGAGCACGTGGCCGGTCCAGTCTAGAAGTCTTCTCAGGAAAACCATTGGGTAGACGTGGAAGCTCTCCTCGGGCCTGAGTTGGAAATATCCAGCAATGTACACGTGAGAAAATGTGGTTTAAAACAAGAGACAAACATTAGATTGTCCACACACCTGTGCTGCTTCTCTTTCCTGAAGCTGCTATAGCTTTGAATGACCAATCATACTGATTGGCATATTTGGTTTAGCCGTTTTCATGCTAATTCCATGCCATGTGCCCCTAATTTTTAGACCACAAAGTCCCACCTGTTCGAACTCTTCTTTTGGCCCTCAATGTCTATTTTGCGGAAGAGGAACCCTTCACGCTGGGCCATGTGGGTAGGCGGCTGGGGTACTGGTGGGCTGCTCTGGGCTGGCGCAGACCTTGAGCGCCGTGTTTCGCCAGCTGGCTCCTTGGGTCGGGGTCTTCTTCTCGGTTTGGGTCTGTCACGAGCACGTGGCCGGTCCAGTCTAGAAGTCTTCTCAGGAAAACCATTGGGTAGACGTGGAAGCTCTCCTCGGGCCTGAGTTGGAAATATCCAGCAATGTACACGTGAGAAAATGTGGTTTAAAACAAGAGACAAACATTAGATTGTCCACACACCTGTGCTGCTTCTCTTTCCTGAAGCTGCTCCACAATCTCAGCTAGCGTCGACCTTTTGTCCCTGCCAACATAAAAGGGAAATCTGAGATCTGTAAATGCTATTTTGCATGGACAGAAAAGAAAGAAGTTGCTGGGGTACTTCAAAACTTTAAAGTCAATATGGGAAAGCATTTACAATCCTTTTACTTCCTTCACGTGACAGATTAAACAGTTCAACAAGACAAATTACAAGAATAATTTATACATCAGGAATCGAGTGGATCATGAAAAGTGAATACGAATTGCAGTCGAGAAGTTATCCTTGAAATCTGTCCGTATTTATTTGAAACTCTACTTGCTATGAATTGACTTTGTGTGAAGTTCACCTTTAAGAGAATCTCAATTATAACACTTCTCTTTCAAATCTAGCTTTAGCACTGCTGTAACTTTTGTAATGTCTCTGTACATGTGGAAGAATTGACAATAAAGCAGACTTGACTTGACTTGACTTTGTAATGTGGATCGTTTGAGGTCACAAATACAGACACTCACCCGCCACCAGAGCGTCTGTCCGACTGCTCCTTGGCCTCCTGCTCGCTGCTGTCCTGTCTCTCCAGTCGGTGTCTGTCCCTCCGCCGCACCTCATGACCTTCCTGTTCACTAGATGTCTGTCTCTCCAGCCTCCTCTCTGCCCTCCCAGCTCGTTCTCTCCACACCTCCTGAGGCAGCTCGTCCCTGCGTGCCTGAATCAGCTGCTCGGTGGATAGTTGTCTTTCCAACCGCGACTCCCTTGGAGGGGGATGCTGCTCCACCAACAGCTCTGAGCGACTGCTTCCGCTCCCTCCCACCATGCTGTTTAGGCGTTCCCTTCCTCCGCCTGGCTCCTGGAGCACCACCTCTGCCATTACGTTCTCATGATACCGCTCCCGCTCCCTGTCTCTCTCCAGTAGGGGGTGGACTGCCTCATGGATGTGTTCGATCTTCTGCTGTGGGACTTGGGCCTTGAATTCCGCTCGCAATTGGGTGACCTTATGATCCATAGAAGTGCCCAGTCCTGCAGCCACTCCAACAATCCCAGCATTCCTGGCTTCCTGAAGGCGATAAGTAGCAGCTCCATTCATGATGGGAGAGTAGTTGGCCACAGTAGAACCCAGTCTTCGGGCCACGGAAGAGGGAGAGGGCTGAGGGGTGATGCGCTCCACACGGGACTCGCCCTGCTCATATATGGTCTGTCTAATGATGGAGGAAGGGCTACTGCGAGCAGGAGAAGAGTCCTGAGGGTCCAAGAAAACCTTCCGTCCCAGCAAGGGAGTTGGGGGAAGCTTGCTCTGCTCTGCCTTTATCTTCTCTACCTAAATCGTTAAACAAGAGAATCTTTTATTATTTATACACCCACACTTCCATTCTGTAACTATAAAAAGACATTATGCTATACACAATTCACCTTTTAGTAAAATGTTTTTGAATTTCAGTAGGTAGACTATTGACACATTCAAACTATGGTAAAATTAATGAAAAGTACAATTGTATGACAGTGACATCAGTGTGACATCCATTAGGATCCAATCCTAATGGATCCTCTAAACCTATTTTTTCCTTTAAAAAACCCTTAACCAGCTAATCTAATGTGTGTAAAAGTGTGTTTGTCCAGGTTGGAGCTAAACTCTGCAAGACATTGGCCCTTCAGGAGCAGGACTGGATACCCCTGACCCTTGGGTTTGGTTGGTTGGTCTCTCTTACTGTGGTAAGACGGCGTAAAGAGCTGAAGCGTTCTTCCCATGTGGCCGCAGCTTTGCGAAAGGCTTCGTGTCTGCGAATCAGCTGCTCAACCTCATCCACACTGCCACCCAGTTCATTACTACTTAGGAAGGGTTCCTGAGCAGTGAGCCAGGCCTCTGCTACCACTGCTTCCTGAGCAAACTGATGCACCTCCAACACTGCAAAGGCACAGAAAGAGAGTGAGATGTTGTGAAGTGCATGACACTGATTACATAATTTATGCATAATGTTTGTTTTCCATTAGCCTCATTTCACCCACTGTGCTGCAACTCTTCCCAGTGTTTGTCCCATTTCTCAGTGAGCTCTTGCTGCTTGGCCAAAACTTTTTCCAGCTTTTCTTTGATCTGAAATGGTCAATACTTAATCGTCAGGTACAGACAGAAGACAGGTTGGAATATCATGTAGTCACCATCATTTAGGCTGGAAACATACTTTACAAAAGTGCACCATTGCAGACACAAAAGGATGGCCATTGCATTGGAAGCAGGCAGTTACATCGTACATACTTAATGTGCTTTCTTTAATTGCTGTGGCAGTAACAAGTCACAGTATTCAAATGTGAAAAAACTCTTTCAGATGTATTATTATTTCGGTAGCTACCTAAACGCGTCAACTTTAAGTAACTTTTTAAATCAGGAAATTAACTGTAGAAAAAGAGTTTATATTAGTACACACTATAGTGTTACTTGTAGCAATGTTGAGAATGCAATATGTAATTGCAGTCTGACATATTTTGGATTGCAACAATGCCTGAAATTAAACATGCATAGAGTATGTTTTGGGCCTTGTAGTGATTTCAGATCTGCAACAGTTTCTGAACAGGTTGTACTTTATATTTTTTGTCACCTCTTCTGATGCAGGGTTACGGGCAGCCAGTAGAGTCTTGCCCATCTCGATACACTGTAGCACGCTCTTGTTTCGAGCTTCCACCTCACTCTTGAGGCTCTGGTGATAGTTCATCAGGACCTCCACAGATGACACGTCCCTGCAAGCACCAGAGAGCCCATATCCCATTAGAGCTCTGAGGAAAGAGCTGACAGTGAGAGGAGAGAGAGTTACTTGGGAAGAATGCATGGGCCAAGTCTGCCCACAGAAAGAAACAGCAACAGAAGGCCATTTTGGCACCACGAAGAGTGTCCATAAGGGCTCCTGAGCTTTTGCAGTATTATAGGGTCTTTATTAAGACTTTAAAAAATACACTAGACATATATACACTATAGCTCTGTTTCAAAACCAAGTGAGCTGCCAACATAGGTGCGCTCCCAATGCAAAAGCTGTTCCAGCAAACGTCTTTTGGCAAAAAACCAACCGGTAACAATGCAGAGAAGGCCATTCCAGAAAACATTACAACAAACTCAGTAGTGGAAAATGGTGGATTTTTCAAGAATTTATTTTGGAATATAATTAATTAAATACAGAAAAGTATTGAAAAAAATAGTTTTTTTAATTTAATTATTGTGAATACTGTATTTTTTTTAGTTTATTAGAGATCCCTTTTGTTAGTTTAGCAACATGCAATGTCAGACGCTATTGGAATCAATTTCTAAGTGAAGTCCTCTGTTCATTTCACATAAAAAGTGCCACTTGAAAAGCATTTGAAATTAGCATTTGAAATTAAAGCTCAAACAATTAGTCGACATTATCGACAATGACGGCAATAAAAAATTATCAACAAATATTTTCGTTGTCGAATAGACATTTTATCTCATATGACCTCATGTAAGGGGTCTGCAATAAAGCGGATTGACCAGCGTGGCGCCCTCCCACACACAGTCCAATAGAAGAAGAAACATGGCACTTACGAGCAAGTGTACAGGTGCATCTCAATAAATTAGAATGTCATGGAAAAGTTCATTTATTTCAGTAATTCAACTCAAATTGTGAAACTCGTGTATTAAATAAATTCAATGCACACAGACTGAAGTAGTTTAAGTCTTTGGTTCTTTTAATTGTGATGATTTTGGCTCACATTTAACAAAAACCCACCAATTCACTATCTCAACAAATTAGAATACTTCATAACACCAATAAAAAAAAACATTTTTAGTGAATTGTTGACCTTCTGGAAAGTATGTTCATTTACTGTACATGTACTCAATACTTGGTAGGGGCTCATTTTGCTTTAATTACTGCCTCAATTCAGCGTGGCATGGAGGTGATCAGTTTGTGGCACTGCTGAGGTGGTATGGAAGCCCAGGTTGCTTTGATAGCGGCCTTCAGGTCATCTGCATTGTTGGGTCTGGTGTCTCTCATCTTCCTCTTGACAATACCCCAATTCTATTTTTCCAAGAGTAGAATATCCGTCTAATTATGCTACAAAATAATAGCAAAATCTGACAGGGTAGCACAATCGTCAGAACACCTGCCCAGGTCAGGGTGTGGGCTAAATAAGAGATAGGGGTTTCTGTTGCATGCCTTCGGTCAGTGAAAAATTATATTTTTAAGGACAGCCTGCATCGGGTGACAACACTACTGTACAGCAGTGTTTCTTACCTTATTCCCCAACGTGCAATCCTGCGCTGGAGAGTTTTCAAAGACACACCAAAGC